TTAAACAAGCTGTTTTTCTACTATAGCTATGTAATGTTTATATGTAAATTTGTTTTATGATGTCATAATAATTCATTAGGAGCTGGTTAATAGTTAATATGTAAATGTGGGACCCCCCCCCCCCCATACATTTTCTGAATTTCTTTTATGATGTTAGAATGTCTGCATAATCCATTGAAATACATTTCTTGAAATGTTTCTTTTATGTCTGCTAAAGTAATTCAATAAGCAATTTAAATAAGCATGAACAATCTGTTGTGCAGTATATCAACTCTTAAAATATATTAGAATATTGTCAACAGGAAATGGCATTTTCAACCCATTTTAGCCATTCTAAAATGTGATGTATTTTCAAATTAAACAAGGAGGAACAAAATGCACACTGTCGTTTAAGATGTGCTGGTAAGATTTTCTTATCTTTTTGAAAGAAGTCTGTTACGCTCACCACGGCAGAAATTATTTGATGAAAATAGTAATATTGTGAAATATTATTGCTAAATCCAAATTTTCAGCATCATTACTCCAGTCTTCTTGCATTGTTTACTTGTAGCTTTTGTTTCAATCTAACTGAATTCATTGCGATTGGTGAATCTGAATGTGGTGTTTACATGAACGCTAAACAAGTGATCGGTTGATGTGCGTTTTAACATTGCTAAGAAAATTCCCGCTCCTCCGTAAGAGATACGAGACCGGTGCGTCTCACAGGTGTCTCTCATCGGTAATCACGCCACCGACGGCCCTCACTCGCCACAGTAAACATAGTGAATGGCGACTGTAGAACGCAAAAGCCGAATCACGAACATTTTGGACGATCTCGAAACACATTTTCGGGCAGACTCATCACGGAGACTCACTAGTAGCCACTTGTTGTTTAACTACTGCGCTCTGTTACCAGTAAGCGTTGCCTCCTAGGGCGGCGAAGCAAGTGCATTCTGGGAGTTGTTGTCTTTCATCCACATAAGCCAAAAATACATTTTCTGGCTCTTCTTAGTCTAGAAAGCTCTAAATTCAAAAATAATTTCATATTTCTTCTACATAAATGACCCATTTTAAATACACATTCATCTTTCCAGAGGTGGAATGACCCTTTAATTTGTTTGTGGAAACAGTAATAGATTTTCCAGGATTATTTGATGAATAGAAAGTTCAAAAGAGCAGAATTTATTTGAAATAGATTTTTTTTTTAACAATCTACAAGCCTTGCTTTCAATTTTGTTCAATTTCATGGTAAAAATGTCTCTTTATGACAGGTGGTTGGAGGGGTTAAAAAATAAGAGGGATTGGTGATGTCAGCCGAAAAGGAAAGTAGTTTCAGATGTGGAGTAAATGTTCACACTCTACGACCGCTAATGTCTCATAATATCACTATGAGATCTGATTTAGCCTCAGTCAGCCCAGCAGAAAACCTCAACATTTGTTTTTGGCCAGAACAACCCATTTTCACATTAAAGCTAAAATGTCCCTTGTCACTAAGTCGAACCGTCCATTTCCATTGCTATTAACACTTTGCTGACAGGAGAGATGTGTTAATAAAGGCCGGTCATGGGAGGAAGAAGCAGGCTGGATGTGTGTGTCCAAACCCTGAGAACTTAATTGGTGCTGTATGTTGATATAGCCACTTCATTGCTGCGTCATAATCACATCTGTTTCCATTCCAGCTTCCCGACACACGGCACACATAAAGGAAAGACAATTACAGCAGCCAGTGTGTGTATTAATTGGATAATGGTGTGTATTGTGCTTGCAATTGCCATCTCAGTATACAAGGTTCAACCTGTCTCTAAAAACTGATTCCCAGGCAGGTGAGAACACACACACACACACACACACACACACACACGCGCACAGGGAGTCTGCAGCTCAGCATGGTTCCCGCTTCTCTTGCTGTCAGTCGGAGAAAATTGTTCAGCGGAGCCCATTTCTAAAATCATTGGTGTGTTTTTTGCTGCTGATTGTTTGCTATTCAACAAACATTTGAATGTTGCTCTAAAATGCCACTTTGTGCGATGAGATTTTAACCCCTTCAGACTCATCAGATGAAACTGCCTGTTATCAGACACTTCAGGCGTACAGCAGCGGTGTGGATACAGCAGTCATCACCACATCTCTCTTCTTATTTAAACCCAAATAATACGAGTCGTATAAAGCAGTTCAGTGCATTTAAGTTGTTCTAGCCTGATGTCTGAATGAATTTTGTCTTTGTGTTTGTATGTTTAGTGGATCAACACTAAACATACGCTTTGGATTGTTAGCATAGTTTAAATGTGGGATTTGTGGAAAGACTGTAGTAAACTCGTGCACCTTAAAGTCATGAAATGATGTGCTATAAATAAATTATATTTGCAATAAAATATGATTTCCTTACACTTAAAAACTAGTTGTAATCACTCCCCACTAAAAAAAATTACCTTATTTTTTTTTTGTAGTCCTTAATTTATTTTCTTTCTTTCTTTTTTTTTTTTTAAAGGGTCATGAAACCCCCCTCTTTCAGCTCAAGTCTAGCTCACAATCTTTTTGAAAAATGTAACTTAAATGGCCGTGGATGGCTGTGAGAAGAAGGGCGGGAGTGGGTGTGGTATGGCCATCACTGTCATGCCAATGTCCCATGCATATCGACTGTCACTAAAAAGCAGTGGTAAAACGTGAGGAAATGCTAGATTATTTTAAATAGCTGGCAAAGTTAAAGTTTTATGAAATACTCTGACACTTTATTATTGTCCTTTCAAAAGTAACTGAATGCCCTGCTACATGTAATTCTATTTAAAACATATTAATGCAGGCTACGTGTATAATTATAATGTCATTATGAAATATAGTGGTTTATACTCTCTAAAAATGTTGGGTTGTTTTAACCCTACTTTGGGTCAAATATTGACAAACCCAAACATTGGGTTAAAAATGTAATTTAAAAATGTAACTCAATGGCTGGGTTTGTCCATATTTGACCCAAAGTTGGGTTAAAACAACCCAGCATTTTTTAGAGTGTTTAGACACTATAAATGCATTTTAAAATTATTAATTTTCCACTTAAAAAAATCGTAGCCTAGATCTAAGCGCCCCCTGAACCCTTATAATAAAGATGGCTCTGCGGAGGAGGATGACTTCTAATTTTAGACACACACACAGGGCCTGAAATTAACACCCGACCACCTGCCAAATGCGGGTGAATTTTTCTATTGGCGGGTAACACTGTCAGTCTACCTGCCACATTGGCAGGTAGCCAATGAGAATTGAGTGATTCATTAGGATTTTTACATTTCAACTAACGCTATTGCGTTTGACTTTAGCTAAAATGTGGCGGCACATTACTGGGGTAAAGAGGCCAGCTGAAACAAACAACCAACAAAAAGATGAGGATGAGAAAAAGAAAAGTAAAAGTAGACATTTTAATACAAAGTGAACAATTGGCGGCAATGGCAAGGTTCGTGAGCGGCTGATTTATGACAGCGACAGTTGTTTCGTAACGTTCATGCGATCAGAAGAAGACGAAGCCCTTTTCTGACTACGTTTGAATGTGCGAGTATTAAACTGTTGGTGAGATGGGATGAGATAATGTAACGCTGACGTAGCCTACAGTACAATGAAAGTTGCACAGATGTGTGTGCGTGTGCAACTGTGCATGTTGGGAGTTGGGAACCAGTAAAAAAATATCTGGTACCCGGTAACTTTACCAGTAATAACAATATTAATTTAGTTCATAGTAACGGTTCCTGAACGCTGTAACTAAAAGCTTTCAGGATCTGTCTACGTGACTAAATCAGCCATCAACACAGCCACGTGTGATTTGTTTACATACGAGCTGCGGTAGGTCTATCTGTTGAGTATATACTATATAGCCTATACTAGCCTATATATGTTGTGTGAGTGTCAAAATCAATTAATAAAAAGATTTTTTTTTTAAAAAAATGTAGGTTCTTAGAGTTATTATTATTACTTGACAGCACTTAAATGTGTATTCTTACAAGTGAAAGAACAATATTGTGAAATTCCCGTTTTTTTCACCTTTATATAAAGGTGGGGAAAAAAAACAGGAATTTCACAAAATTGTTCTTTTTACCAGCCATTTTTTGGCTGAGGCAAAAAAAAAAGTGGCTGGTAAAAAGTCTCTGTGGCAGGTGAATTTTTAAATCCACCTGCCACAGTGGCCGGTGGCCGAAAAAGTTAATTTCAGGCCCTGCACACACACACACACACACACACACCTCTGAAGGGATAGAAAAGTCCTTGGGACTTGATACCGCATCACTCGCAAGACGCAACTTGGGTTGGTTGTCAACAAGGCGAAGTCCACCATTCTCCACTTTTCGCAGTTTGCGACACAAACTATTGTTTAGATGTGTCCATGGTTGATGGAAAACCAACCATCCAGAGCCAGAGTCTAGCCCTGGCATCATCACAGGGAAACATATTCAACACACTTGGATTTTTGCACCATGAAAACAAACACTTGCGTCCCACGATTGCCTCTCTCATCTACTACGCGATATCACGGTTTGACGTGTCTGTCATTGGAAAGATCCACGTGGTGTCGTGAATAATTAAGGGACCGTGTCTTCTCATAGGATATAAAAACTCAGTCTCATTAATAATTCTGAGACACCGATTAGTCATCAACACTCACAGTGAGGACATGATGGAGATTTTAAACCTGGAAGACGAAAAAAAAAAACGGAAAAAAACTCAAATTTAACCATTTTAACCCTACTATTATATCTAACAGATGCTAACATTGTCTTCAATGGTGGTCAACACAAATACCTCTGTTAAAATCTCAGAAAATGTGGTTTGGGGTTTCATGAGCTAAATGAAATGAATAAAGACCCTTTATTCTTTAGTGTATTTTGTTTTATTTTATGACTTTTTTAGTATATATATTTTCATGTATCATAATACCTTGTTACTACATTGAAATAGGTATATCAGATATGGGAAATTGGACTATCCTGTCATGTTTGTTTCTTGACTGTGCTTGTGTGACACATCTGTTTTTGTCCAATCAGAAAACCCTGGCGGAGCATGTGGAGCCCAGTGTGGGCCAGCGGAGTCAGCGTGAACTTCTCTCTCCAGACACCAATAGGATGGTGACCCAGCTGGAGAGCCGGATAAAGGAGTTAAAGAGCTGGCTGAGAGACACCGAGCTCTTCATCTTCAATCTGAATCTCAGACCAGACGCACAACAATGTGAGGGCAGCACGCAGGACGCTGATGCCATCAAACAGCTGCAGCACTTCAAGGTGAGTATGAAGAAGAGGCTATCTAGAGTTTACTTCAGGTTTTGCATGTCATGGCTGTTGGTCTTTTTTACAGGTCTAGATCCTTTGCCGTTAAAGCTGCCATTTCTGCTCCACTAGCAGAATTTTAAAAAATGATAATTGTTCTCAGACAAACACTAAATATATACTAAATAAATATGTTTAGTGTAAGGTAAAACTTCCGAAATCTCCGTGTAAACAATGCGTGACGTAGACGCGCGAGAGATCACTTTCGGCGTAACGTTGGACACGGTTCAGTTCGGTTCAGTTAGACATCTGATTTAGATCAGTTCGATGGCTGTTAACAAGAGGTAAAAACTATATAAATACTGTTTGTTTTCTCACACAAACCGCTCGTTTCGTGTCTTAGGCCATCAGTGTGTACTTACATTTACAAGTCATTAAATCATGTTTAATTTGGACTTCTCTGTGCATGCTCTTTGAGGTGGACCCCCTAAACCTGCATTATATGACTGACAGACAAGAACGGTTTGACCAAAAAATGCTGTGGAAACAAAGACTAAAACATATCAAAAATTAATTTCAAAGTGAACTATCCCTTTAAGGAACCATTTTTTTTCCTTTTCTTTTTTTTTTTCCTGATGTAGCCATGTAAATGTCAAAGCCTATTAAATGTTAAAATTATGGCTTTTCAATTAATGCAGTGATGTTGAATGGCTATAATTACTCATTTCATTCATAGAAATATCCAATTAATAGAGACATCAATAGCAGTATTGGTATTATTGATATTGGCATTCATTCATGGTACTTGGTAAAAAAGAAAAAGTTGCCATTAAACATTTAAAATATACAGTCTTTATCGGTTCTACATTAATTTTGCCTAAAATAAATGGCTAAAATTAATGTTAAGTGCAATAAATCACGCTACGCAATTACAGAAAAATATGTGATTTAGTTAATTGCTTGACAGCTAGAAGGGTCAGAGCAGTATAAAGTATACTTAAAGTTTTGGAGGATAAGAGTTGAATTAAGTTATTCATATTATTATATTTCATTTGCCTTTCCCTTTAGCTTTCCGATTTGTAATTCCCTAATTTACAATCATTTACAAAAGTTTATCTCCTATCGCTTGCGTTTTCCCTCATTACATATTTTGGATACTTTGACACAGCTTTTCAATAAGAGCGTAGTTCTCTCAGCTCAGTTTTAACATTTATCATTTACTATTTTTAAATCTGTCCCACAGAATTCCATGGGATAATTTCTGAGGGCATCGGCCATCGAAAAACCTATAATGGTCGAGCACTATATATCAGTACCTAGCACTGTACAACACCTGTATACCTGCTGAGACTTTGCTTTTTCAGAGAAGCTTTCACTAAACCACAATGCACACTTACACTAGAATACATGACGGCATCATGTCAGGTAGGGGTGCACGATATTGACAAAAATGTGATATTGCGATATCGATAATGAATATTGCGATATCGATATTAATTTCGATATTTTTAAACGGATGTAAAACTACAAAAGTTATTGGAAAACGCATCAAAAAAGATTAATAAATAAAACAAATAAATAAAAGTTTTCTTATAACATAATATTTATTTCAACTGACAGTCATATTGGACTGGTACAGCATTAATAAATAAATAATAACCATGTCTACAGAACAGGACATGTTACTAGTTAGATAATAAATAAATAGCAAGTCTACAGAACACACTATGCAACATAAACGCCACTATATGTGTTTTCTTTGACCGGATAATATTAGCTATCTGATCGTGAAAAGAGGTGTAAATGCCCTGTGAAACGCATTCGTGACGTATTTGAATCTAATCGCTCAAACCACTTCAGGAGGTGGTCTGGGCCGCATTTCAGTCGAAACTGGACAAATGTAAATGCATCTCGTTGTTGAAGCAACATATGTAAAATGTACTCCTTCCAAAAACGCTAAAAATGAGAACGTTACAGGTCATGTTATGGCCAGATGACGCCGCGCGCGACTGCAACACGCATCACAGGGGATGAGCAGCTGAACGCGCAAACTATCGCAAATCAAAGTGAAAGTAAGTCACAGACGCTTTTCACAGTTATCTTCATTAAAAGTAAATAAACGAACTGATCTTATTTTACCTGATGATCGTAAAATGCAGCCCATAACTGTTGCTTTCGGTGACGTGCACTCCATTAAATCTGCATATAGCGTGGGAATTGAAGATCGTATTTTGATAAATCAGATAGCTATCCGATCAGTGAACACGCATGAAGTTGCCAGGTGGACCGTGGCCTGATGTTTACTTATGCGCTGGTGTGCACGTCGAGCCGGCAAGTGTGTGTGGGACTGTGGTAGGAGAGCAAGGGAGAAGTGAGAGAGTGACGGCGGTTAGCTTTGGAGCGAGTAGCGACTTATATTGAGAAAAACAAAGTGTCTCCCCTGTTCTTTCTGACCACTGTGGGAAATCTGTAGCATGAAAAGTTAAATCTCTCCTTGATTTCATGTTGTTTATGGAGAAGGAGAATCAGGAAATGAGTCGGGGGAAATGCAACGGTGCATGTGGACCAGACGCATCATAAACAAAATATTGCATAAATATCGCGACACTTTCGATATGTATATCGAGCAACGTGATATCGCGATAACGATATTGATTCGATATATCGTGCACCCCTAATGTCAGGTAGTCTGGTGGTATAGCACATACACAAAAATGAAACTGCTTAGTCAAACTGCACAGGAGAGAACGGCTCTCTAAATAAACAACCTGCTTCGCTTGATCCGTGCTCCTTTAATAAATACAGGGCAAAAAGCACACATCAAATCCGCTGACTGAAAATCCATATGAAATAATTATTTGAGTTAAAATCCTGAGAAACAGCTTGGAGTATTAATCAAGACGTGTCAAAACACAGGTAGTGGAGCTGATTACATCCACCTGCTGAGTGACAAACATAAGTGAGGAAAAGCTTTAAATATACACAGAGCTAAATGATCAGGAGGGGGGAAATAAGGCTCGCTTTCTCCTTTGATCAAATGACATGCAGCCAAAAAGGCTCACATTGATTTCTCAGGAGAGAAAATAGCATTACAATGATTGGGAAATATTGGTAAGTGCGATTTATATGGACTCTGCCATTGCACTACATGGAAAGAATGAGAAAGGAAGGAGGATTTCATGGATCTGTTTTTTTTTTTTTTTTTTTTTTTTTGCGTCTGCTTTTGAAGCATGAATTGGCTAACTGGCATGACTTGGCGTGATCACAGAGCACTTGAAAAGCATCAGCGGGAGAGCTGAGGTCTATAGTACACCTCTCTAAATCGCTGAAACAGCACCGTTCTCATCTCAGTGCGGACAAACTTAAAGTGTGCTGTACTTAAAAGCAGCTTGAAATGGTGTTTGCAGCCTGTTTTACTTCTGTAATCGGACAGCTTTGGGAGTGAAAACTATATTTAATTGGAAAATGTACCAATCTAGGTTTCTTATACACTGTAAAAATGAATATGCTTTATCTAATCAATAAAATTGTGGCAACAGATTACAAGCAATATTATTTATTAAATTGAACAAATTAGAATTGAGTAATAGTTAATCAAATTAACATTCTAATTCATTCTAATTCGTACAATTTAATTAATAATATTGCTTGTAATATGTTGCCACAATTTTATTGATTAGATAAAGCATATATTTTTTTCAGTGTAATAATAATTGTTTAAATAATAACCACAGTGGTCACAGTAGTCCCATTGAAATTGAATTCAATGAATTGAAATTAAATGCAATTCTTCAAAAGAAATGTATACTGATTTGGAACAAAATGACAGAATTATTTTATATTATTAATTAATTAATTAATTTATTTATTTATAAATACCCACACACTGTAAAAAACTATTTTCAAGATTTGTTATCACAACATGTTTTCTTTTGTCAAATCAACTTTATAATAATGTATTTAGTTGAGATAACTTTATTTTTTTTTGAGTTTCTGATGGTTAAATTAATCTACTTCATTGTAATAACTCACTTTTTCCAGTTCAATCAACTTAAAATTTTAAGGCAACCCGGGTTACTTACTTTTTTAAGTTAAACCAACAATATTTTTTTACAGTGTAGTAATCATAACATTTTTTCTTTTGTCAAATCAACTTAAATAATTTATTTAGTTCAGATAACATATAATTTTGAGTTTCTGATGGTTAAATTAATCTCCTTCATTGTATTAACTCACTTTTTCCAGTTCAATCAACTTAAAATTTTAAGGCAACCAGGTTACTTACTTTTTTAAGTTAAACCATCAATATTTACAGTGATATAATAATAATAATAATAATAATACAAATAATTAATATAAAAAATACATTAAATTAAATAAAATGTTAAAAATGATAAAAGCACGCACTTTCATTTCGAAAACTTTTTTTACTTTTACTTTTTTCTGCATTTATCACTAATAGGACCTCTGTATTTTTATTATTATTATAGTAATGTATGTTATTAAACAGGTAACCATCTCAAGGTTGTGTGTGACAGAGATTCTACCATAGATAAGGGACTGTTAGTCATTGTAAGTCGTTGTGTTGTGGCCGACTGTTGTGTCATGTTATTCGTGTGTATGATAGTTGTTCACTGTTTGGGAAAGGGTCAAGGGTTTGAGATTACCCCAAGAAACTCAGCATTTAGTGATTTTGATACATTCATCCCAGATTATTGTGTTTTAATTGAATATTAGTTTTGGCAGTTTATCTATGACCTGTCTGGGTAACTAAAATCTATATGTAGTGCCTCACGGCTGGAGCTGCTGGGATGTGTCTGTTCAGTGTAGATTCCTGATGCCAATAAAAGGCTGAAAGGATGTGTAAAGGGAGAGATAGTGAGACACTTCGTTATGAGTAACAGGTATGGTCACCCTTTAAAATGTCATCATAAAAATGTCTGTCTTCCACTGAATAAAAAGCGTTAAGTTCTTTACTTGCTAGGGGGAATGGAGTGTCTAAAATTAGACTCTAT